TTCCTGTGGAGGCGCTTGGGGCTGCCCGGGTGCCCCCTGCCCCCAGGGCTGCTCAGGGACTCGCGTTAGCGCTTCCTTGCCGCCCTCAGCTCTGTCTTGTACGTGCCGGCTGCCTTTGTCTTGCCTGAGCCGGCACAGATCCGTGTCTGGATTGAGGAAAGCGTCCTAAGCGGGCGTTGAGCAGTGAAGTTCATTCCAGGCCTGAAGAAGGGCTCGTGTACTTCAGAACTGGTCAGACAGATGAGTCAGAGAAACTTTGCGCGCTAGGGATTTTACAGTCTCGGTAGCAGGAGTGGATGCGCTCTTTGGGAAGGGAAGACGGTAATGAAACGAAAACGAGCACTCGTGGGTTTTTGGCATATGGTTTTGCTGCTTTTGCACTGCAGCAGCTAACTGCGTAGTACTCTTGCTGCACGTCACGCTCTGTAGTGCCTAGTAGCTTGCTTAGGTGGATTAATTGCCCCTAGAGGTTTAGAGATGTTAGTGACACTTTTGCTTACTTCTGTTCCAGTTACTTTGACAGAGCATACAGAGTATAATGGACCAACTTACAGCATACACTTACAGGCCATACACCATACAGGCGTTAAATGTTTTAAGATGTGCTTCTGGATAAATGGGGAAACATTCTCAGTCTGAATTTAAATACAGTGGCAGAGAGCTGGTTATTAGTACATTCTGGAGAAACGAGTGGGGCACAGAAAAGGATCCAGCTGACTGCCAGGAGATGCTGTTAGCATCTAGTGCTGTATTGCTGAGGTTGTCTGATGTGAATATCTGGTTATTAATAATGCAAATCAGAGAAGATGAGAATATTGAGGGAACAGTGGTCTCCATTGAGGAAAGACCTTTCAGACCTGATGTAACAATTATATTTTCATGACTCATTTTCTAATGCTGAATGATAAATGCTGATACAGCTAATGATGCTGGCACTGTGGGCAGTGTGTGAGAGATGTGTTTGTTCATTTGAGCAAGTGGATTCTTCAGCTGTGGGCCTGGCTGCTGATGGTACCGCTGATGTGTTTGAGCACTGCTGAAAATTGGTAATTGTCGACAATTTTTTTCTGTGTGGTGTGCATGATACTATTTTCTGTTCAGAAGAGCAATAACAAATCACTGTGAACAAAAGAAAATCTTCAGGAGCTGAAGATGTTGGGATAGAGTTGTCTGATTGGTGTTGGTGATGATACTATAATGCTGCTGTTAAGCGTTTTGTTCTTCTGAAGAAAATGGGTTGAACTAAAAGAATGGTTGCTCTTTAGTCAAGGCATTTTAGTTTTTTTGCAGTGTGCCACGTCAGCTTTTCCTTATGTGTCTGAAAACTTAATCTAACTTTTATCTTCAACACCTGATTCAGCTAGTAAATTTGCAGTGGCAGCAACCGCTGCAGTTTTTGGGTTGGATAATATATTGTCTTGCTCAGCAAGAATCATTTTAGTTTTATTTGACAACATTTAAGTTTTTTCACAAAGCATTTGCTCAGTTGTAATGAACTTCCCTGTTAAGTTGATTGCTGATGAACTCCATGTGCAGTTGTACCCTTAAATTTTTTTTCGTCTGTAGGGCTGCAAGCCTATGGGTAGATGTATGGCATAGGGATATTGGAGGGGGGTGAGAAGGAGAAAGCTGGTCATTAAATACCCTTAAAGTGGGAGAAGAGGCATACTGTGCTTGAGGCAGTGCTCCTGTAGCCCTGTGAACTTAAATAGTTCTTAATGTTCTGTTTCTGTCAGAGGCTTCGTTCTGGTTGTGGTACTTGCTGGGTGGTAAGCTGGAAAAAAACTACTTAAATCTGGTTGTGAGGATAAAAGCTTCAATATGGCTTTCTGCTCAGGCTAAAAATAATCATTAAACACAATGATGGAGTTGAAATAATATAACTATGCAGTGAGCAAAAAGATGTTCCTGATAACGTAAAATTAAGATGGCTACTGTGATCAGCTTTCAGGAGTGAAGACCTGTGTGTGCATGTGTGTGTGTTCCTTTATCTCTAAACCTGATCTTGTGTTGTTTCAGCATGACCCGTATAAAAGCAGGCCTGGATTCTGTAGTCATAGTTAGCTGTGACTAGATGGAGATACAGTAATGCCTATATATATTAACACTACAGAGAGTGTTTTTCAGGGATCCTTAAGCATCAAAAGGCAGCTTGTCATCAGACATTAAACTGGTTAGTTGGTAGTAATTAGCTTGTCCATTTTATTTTACAAGTTATCACCACTGAAAACTACTACCTACCTCCATTTAGAGAAACTGTGTTTGAAATAAAAACTCACAACAGTCTGTCCTGTAACTTGGCCATTCTCTATCCTAGCAGACTTGTGTTACCTTCTCCTTTAAGTAAGAGTGTGGTGAGAAGTCCCGAGTGGAATGTTGGTTTTGAACTCTGAAATATGTGCCTGTTATATTAGAAGTGATTTATAAAGGGTATAAAAGAAATGGCCTATAGAGTGTTTTTAAATGCACTGATGCACTTGTTGTGCAGTCATCCAGATCACAGTATTTGCTTCCCTTGGGTAACAGTTTTCTTGCAGTAGAATTATTGCCTATGTTTCTTAAGATACTGTCTTTATGCAATTTAAAGGAGGTATTAGGAGTTTGCCAGAGATCAAGCCTCATCTGACTGGGCAAATAATGTAAGCAAACCTTCTCTGTTCTCTTTTGTTCTATTTAAGCTTGCCTCTTGGAGGGTAAAGAAGGGTGTTTGACCAGGTGTTGATGTGACTCAAATACCAACTGTTGAGAATCCTTCCAGAGACTGATGCAGAATGGCTCACTTCAGTGCTGTTTTGTTGGCTGTTCTAGGTATTGGCTTCCTGGGTTCACCATGGTGACTGCTGCCTTGCATGTTTTTAGTTTTCCACTGAATAAACTTGGATAAGATTATAAAGAATGCTGGTCTTGAAATCAGGGGACAAGTAAAAGCTTCGAAAGATAAGACACTTAAGGTGAGCTTGTTTAGAAACATACCAAATGTTTACCTAGAGAAGTAGCAAGTACTCTTACTGTGCTTTTTTTTAATATATCAACAAAAAGTATTATTCTGTCTTAAAGCTGCAGAATACTCAAGCAACAAAACAGAGTTGACTATTAAGTGGAAAAAATGGGTCTTTACCAACCCATGTACTTTGGGACCCTTTTGATTGTCAAGTTCTGCTCTTCAAGTGCGATTAGCTGCTGCTTAAGGAAGTGAGGTGTACATAAGGACTAATGGTGTGATGAGAATTGATGACTTTAGCAGTGTAAAATGTTCAGAATGTGACCTGTGTCTATCCATCAGTATGTCACCTTGGGTGTTTTCTGGACAAAGAGATAGTAAGTGAGCGCCCCAGCACTTCTCTTGTTGTCAGGCCTTGTAGTTTACTTGTACAGTAGACAGTCAGATGTCTTAAGGAAATAACAGACTTGATTAGTGCAACTCAGCACAGTAACCTGAAAATAAATCTCTAAAACTAAATATGAAAGGTTTTGGTTGTTTTTTTTTTACAACAGCTGGTGGTGTCATTGAGATACTTGAACAAAATTCATTTCAGAGGACATCTTTAAGTCAGATATATTGGTGATAGATGTTTGTTTCCTTCATTAACAATTAAGGGTTTTTAAGAAACATTTATTGCCAATTTAAAAAATACTCAAAATCATGATTGTGGTAAATTGGGACCTTAACATGCAGGCCTGTAACTCTGTGAACAGCGTTTTGAGTACATAATTAAGAGTGAAGCGGCCAGATTTGCAGATCCTTGCCAGGACCTTGTGCTAGGTTAGTGGTTTTTTCACTTTTGGAGACCTGT